TCTTGGTTTTCTTTTGTAATGGTTCTCGCCCTAGTGCTTGGTACGGGTTGGATGTATGAAGAATTAAGAACCTTTGTATATTCAATGTTTGTACTTTAATGTACATAAGTTTTGCGTTAAGTTTTGGATTGTCGTTATATTTATTCCTGTGTTTTATTTCGATTTTAATTGAGGACTGAAGTGGACAACTGAGTCCCGACGAGAGTTGGGCAGGCGGTCCGCCGAACCCTCTGGTTCGCCTTAGGGGGAGGTGGGGCTGTCACATTTTTTTAGCCAACTTGGCTGAAAATTTGTCTCCCATCTGAGATCCACACAGCTAGTCATGTTCGTAGTGCGGCCAAACTCCGGTTGCCACACATTCGGATGATGATGACTAGCCACAACTACTCCAACTTGATCTCGAACTGAAGAGGTCTTTTTGTCAGCAGGCTCAATAGTTAAGAAAAGCACTGAAGATGCAATTGCTCAACCACCCTGACGGATAGGAACAAGAGACCTATACATCAGTGAAGTGATAGCCCTGACAAACAATTACAACGAATCTATTTTGTATAAATTTTACTTGTTACATAGAAAAATTTTATATTCAACTTTTGTAAATGAATTTTGGATTATATATTTATACTAATTTAGTAGTTACATAAGGTGGTTATTAGTACATATAATACAAAAATATGATTAATTGATTTTTTCTTGTGCAGTTTTTTATTTTCCAGCAATATTTTGACGAATCAACCGAGGCAAAAAAAATTTTTTTTTTGAAGCAGCCCCCTATGTTTTAGAAATGGGAGGGCTATCACATTTAAAAAAAAAAATCTATACCCCTAAGTTTCAAAAAAGCAGGGGGCCATTATTGCTATTTTGGTCCCTGCCCCACTGTGTAAAATATGGTCCCAGAGTTTCAATTCAAACCTTAAAATTTTTTTTTTAAGCATGGTTGTTTCTACAACATGGGGACCATAGATGCAGAAATTGTCCATTGACTAGCCAGATTTGGTCAATTTTTTTAACAATATTCAAAAAAATTGCCTAGGTTCCCCCTAAGCTCAGTTATCCATTACTCCATTCCATCATACAAGTACCATAAAATCTAGCATTATGAACCCGTTTGGATTGCATACTTTGAAAAAAATTCACTGTAGTATTATTTGTAGGATGTGATATATATGAAGTAAAAGATAATTAAAAAAATGAACAAGAATATTCTTACAAAAACATAATTTTTTTTGCAAAAAATGCAATCCAAACAAGGTTGATTATTTTTTTGGTCAAATCTAGTGGAGTGAAGAAGTGTCAAAAGAATTTTCTTTTGACTCGTTAATACATTTCACTGCATGGTGTTAATGTGTTAACTCTTATAATTCACACTAGCCTAATTTCCTTCATCAAGAAAAACTACCGCATTTCATAGTACTAGTTTATTTGTGTGCCGCATGTTGTGCATGAGGGTGTCTAGTTTTTGGTTTTATTGTTGGTGTTGTTTGTGGAATTAAGAGTAGGAGTGTGTCAATTTGGTGATGAGAAGGCTGTAGTTTATAATATATGTACATACATTGCATTCTATCAGTTTGTACATTAGCAAAAGCTATTTACTATAGCGTAGAAAGTTTACATAAAGAACCATAGACAAAAGTAGCAAAAGCTGGTATGTACATTAGCAAAAGTTGGTCATTGGAAAAATAGATGACTTTATGGCACCAAACTGATCTCAAAAGCTGATGCAAAACATAGGGAGGGTGCATGGTTTTAGTTGGTTTTTTGGTGCTTTGGCTGGTCAGTGATTGTTGCTGGTGGATCTCTTTTCTTAGTTGTTGCAGCTTGTGCGATGGTTGGATTGGTTGTGTCTTTGGTTGAATCTTCAGTTGCTATTTGTTGATCAGGTAGGTTTGATGATGAGGCTTCATTGGTTGCTGATGCGGGTGTCTGTGTAGGATCTTCAATTGGTAGGCAAGCCAGAATGTTGTATTTTGCTACAATTGTGTTGCGTAGAGGATGGGTGAATTTCCTGACTTGAAAATGAAATGTGCTCATATGGAGTTTCATATTGATGTCTGCAATGTCTGGAAGTTGGTTCTGTGGACATTGGTTTATGAATGACTATGTGTTTGGTTTGATATATGAGTATTTTGAATAATTATGTATTCTATAAAAGGTAATATTGTTAATGTTGAAAATTACCTTCAGTGCCATGTAGAGTATGTCTTCAGCAGAGATGTTGAGAATGTATTGAGCATGCTGATCTTCAATTTGTGCAGTGATTGTTCCAGTAGTATCAGACAGTTGCACTAAGAACTTGAGCCTGCATTAAATGTTATGGTTTTTGTTATGTTATGATCAGAAAAATATTGTGAATTTTAGTGTGTGAATAAGTTTTTGAATTTACCGTGGTAGTGGTTTTGCAAATGTCATGTTGCAATGACGGCATAAGAAGTTGAAATTTGTTTGAGCTCCAGTTTGTTTTTTGCAATTGGAAGCTGGACAGGTGAGGATATAGAGTCGATGTTGAGGCTGAACTATCTTTGCTTTGGCCTTGATCTAGAATGGCTTTGCCTATAAGATTTCATGTGGTAAAATATTAGATTTTGTTGTGATAGCATTTGTTATTGAATATATTGTATTCTGTACTAATATATGTAGTAGTTGTATCAGATAAGGAGTATTCAGTGCATAGCTGATGTCGTGCATATGCTCTTCAGGAGAAGGTTGGACTGTTTGATGAGCTGCATCATAAAGTTTTTCTGCTAAAACTTGTTCAATTTAAGGTTTATTTGCTTTGGTCCTGTTATATTGTATAGGATGGTGTCAGATTTTGGTAATAATGTGTCTAACAAATAAGTAAGTATTGACTTTGTAAACTTACCAACTTTTGAGTTCCAATGCTTGAGGGATTTGTGGATCAAACAAGATAGCACTCATTGTTTGTGTCTCGACAGATAAGACTGGTATATGATTATTTGAAAAGTTAGTATTATATTTTGTAAAGTAGAGGGTATACTTTACTTTTGTAAGTTTATATGAATTAGGGAAAGATTAACATACCATGTACTGAAGTCACTTTGGCTCTTGTTATAATCAATGTCGGGGATTGATTTAAGATACTCAGAAGGTCCTGTGCTTCAATATCAATGAATTCTGGCCACATTGTAAGTATCATTGGCTTTTGCCTGTATCAATTGTCAATGGTTAATATGACTATTGTGTTGTATTGTACTTTATTAATTTGCATTGTTTTTATACTTACTCTTGATTCAGAATGATGAATTCTTGAATTGTACAATCGCCTCTTTGTCGTGCAATGAAGTGTCGGGGAAGAGCTCCAATGACAGTGCATAGCAGAGCTGAGACAAGAGGATTAACTATTAGTATTGATATGTAAGAATCATTGTAGTAACAATGTAATGAAAATCATTAAAGTGAAGTAGTGCTTATCGGATTTGTATTTGTGTCCATGTACTTATAGAAGTCTCTGAATGGTGTAAAATTGTAGCACTGATCAATTGGATACTGGTTTTCTTGATTTGCTTCTTTGATGAATGTACCTCTGGTCAAGGTTAGTTGAAAAGGTGAAATGCAGTATCTGAAATTTTCTACTATTATAGGCTCCACCTTTGCATTGCCAATGTAGTATGTAGAGTACAAGAGAAGTGCTTCATCTAGAGCTTGTATATCCCTTGTGTATGAGATAGCTTGGATTGTACTTTTCTGTATTTTGTAGTAACAGAGAATAAAAGATAATGAGTGAGTTTTTACTTCTATTTTCTAGAACATTTTCGTTATGTACTTCTTATATGAATAAATTTACCTCCTTATCAAGGAATAGATATTTCTGGAATGTAGTGCTTCCATCTTTACTAATACGAGGAGCTGTTTTCTCAATGAGAATAGTTTTTGCAACCCAGTCTTCTTTTCATTGTGCTATTTCAGTAAAGGGAATGCACAGGGTCTTTTATTTCACTGCAATATTAGCCAACATTTGTGCATAGAGATAAGTATATACAGTGTCAATGGTATAGTGCTGTAAAAAGAGCTGGTCAAAGAATCAATATATAACTAAAGCAGATTTATGAAAAGAACCAAAATGGTAAGCAATGGTAGAAAACATAAACAAAATAATAGAGAAAATGTGAGGAAGTAAGAATTAGCTATTAGCTACTGCTGAAAGCACTTCTTGATAGACAACATTTCGTGTAAAATTGGTGCTTTCTCTTTGTCCGTGTGGTGACTGTATTAGAACTTTAATGTTAGTAGCTATTCGTGCTCTTGACAAAGCAACATAAAGTTGTCCATGGGAAAAAACTAGTTCTATGAGGTAAAGTCCAACATAATCAAGTGTTTGTCCTTGAGTTTTATTAATGGTCATTGCGAAACACAAGCGTAGTGGAAATTGAGTTCTCTTGAACTGTACTGAAGACAATTCATCATCAGAAGCTTGTAATGAAAACAATTTTTCCTGCAAAAGAGTCAAATGCTATCTGTGCTTGAATTATGTTATTCGAAAATTCCTTACAGATTAGGCGTGTACCATTTGATAGGCCCTCACTTGGATTGATGTTCCTGAGAAGCATCACTGGACAGTTCTTTTTGAGTATTAGCTCATGCAAAGGAAGGCCCTTAGGTGTAAGAGAATGCAATATATCTTGATCTTGCAATTGTACTGAAGAGTCTAATGGTTCATCATTGCTGAAGTAGGTTCTCTCTGCTCTTGGAAATTTCATTATCAATTTATGATTAATCTGATGAACAAAGTCATTTCTTGTCATCAATATTGCTCGATTGATGATAGATGATGATGTTGAAGTAATGTACTCCATATTTGGGAACACAGTATCAATCAGAGCATTTATGGAAGTTTCATCATCTTGAAAAGGAATGTTGATTGATTCTGGTATTTGAACTTCATCTTGATCAATAGTTTGTTGTATTCCATCTTCAATTCTCATCAAGAATGTTGAGAAATCTGGATCATGTCTTGCTCTCATATTGACTGTTAATCTAATCTTTTAGAATTTGTTCCATAATTGTGACATGACAAGACTGGTATCTATGATATCTTCTCTGGTACCATGTGTGATTACTGGTAAGGTCTGACGAAAGTCACCACCAAAGACAATGACTTTTCCACCAAATAAATGGCTGTTATTTGTTATGTCTTGTAACATCTTGTCAAGAGCTTCAATTGATTTTCTTTTAGCCATAGTAGCTTTATCCCATATAATGACCTTAGCATCTCTGATTAGCTGAGCCAAGACACTTTGCTTGCTGATGTTGCAGTACTTATGTTGGTCATCATTAATGGGAATTTTGAACCTTGAGTGTGCAGTTCGACCTCCAGGAAGAATGGATGCTGCTACACCTGATGTTGCAGTAGCAAGTGCTATGTAGCCTTGTGATCTTATAGTTGCAAGCAGAGCTTTATAGAGGTAAGTTTTTCCAGTCCCTCCTGGTCCGTCAATGAAAAATGCTTTTGATATGTTGTTGACACAATGTAGTACTTTATCAAAAGCAATTTTCTGCTCTTCATTTAGTTGATATACTGAGAGCAAATCTTCTTCAGGAGTGATGATATATTTTTCTGCTTGAAGTTCTTTTGTGTCCATGTGATTTTGCAGTAGTGTATTTGGTAATAGCTGAAAACCATAGTGTGTGATCTGTTTCCCCATTGCTCTCAAATGCATGTCTATAATCTGCAATACTGTGCCATTGACTACTTCTGCAGATAATGTTTTATTCTGTTGAATGTCTTCAGAAAGAAAATCCTTAAACTTTAGCCACAACTCTTTACAGTTTGGAGGATTGTAGTAGACTAAGATTGTAGTAAACAGATGACAAAGTGAAGATGACATTTGATATAGGACAACCTCTGCTAAACAAATCTCTGCACTATTATCAGTTTGTAATAGACCTAAGAATTCTGCTGCTTCTCTGAAGGATGTAGCAATTTTGCCATTAATCACTTTTAGATCATGAAATGATGTTGGCTTTTTAACATGCTTTAATAAGAGTCTTAAACAGTACCTTTCACCTTCAGAAGGATGAACTCCAGCAATTCTTCCAATTACATCTCTTTGCTGTCGCAATGACCAGTATCTTGACTTAGCATCCCATACGAAATATTGAGGAAAGTCTGTATATAGACAATTCAAATTTTTTGCAAAATGGTCATACTTATTCATCTGAAAGAATTCTGTGAGCATAACTTTTTTCAAATGTGCATTTTTTACAACATCATCAACAGATTGTTGATCTGGAAAAGTGAATAGTTGTTGATTTTCCAGATGTACTGGTAGAGTCATTATAGAGGGATGCATTTCATTAAGATCAAAACTATATATTCTCCACATAGCTTCTGGTGCTGAAATCCATCTGGCTAATTGAAAGTTCTTGATTTCATCAAGCATTTGATTTGCTTCTCCATTGCTGAGCTGATATAGTATCTTGTCACGACCCTTATAGATGTATTTATAAATATACTTAACTACTTGTATAGTAGAACATATCTCTACGTTCATGTGGCAGTCAAATCTGGACAAAAGATATGCATTGTAAGGAACTATGCACTGATTATCCAAATGATGTCCTCGAACCTTGACAATCCTTTTGTTATTAGTTCATCGATAGATTGGATAAGAGTTCTGACCATGTATTGTCGATTCAACAAATTGTTTTGGATACTTATCCTTGCAAATTTCAGTTTTCTGCATACAAGCATGGTTTGGATTTATTTGTCCACAGGGTCCGTGCATCATATGTTGTGCTACTAAAGAGTGCAGATGCTTGTGTATATGAATATCACGTAGCTCAGCAGAAACAATGCGATCGTATGCTTCAGGAGTCAATAACTTAGAGCAATGCTTTAGAATGATAAGAAAATGTGCATGAGGAATATGTGCAAGCTGCAACTTTGCAAAAAATATATTTCTTGAAAAGTTCATTCTTTAACATTTGCAACTTAGCTCGAAAAACTTAGGATACCAGATCAGGCCTATTCTCTGTCTTCTCTATTGGCAACAAAAGCTTCTTGATTTCTAGCCAATTTTTGTTGCAAGTCATTGTTAAAAAAATGTTTGGTTTGCCATACTGCTAAACCAAAGTCATTGCATCTAAATAACGACGCTTCATGTCCCATGGACCACCAATAAAGCTACGAGGCAATATGAATCTTTTACCAACATTTGAGCCGTTGATTTCTCCACTTGACAAGCTATCAAGAAGACCTTGATATGACTCTATCCTGAGGCGATTCTGGTACTGATCATTGTTGAAAAAATCAAGCCGTGATGTTTCAATCTTCACGTACATGTCAACCACATACTGTTGGAGTAGCCTTCCAATATGCAAGAGCATTGATTTGTCTTCAGGTCTAATCTGCAGCTTGTAGCAATAATATTCTCTGCAAGATACATATTTTTGCTTTTTGCTATGCTTTGCTGCAACTGTTTATAGAAAGGTGACTAATTAGGCTCAATATGTAATGACTATAGCTAATGTAAATTGATTTTGAATAGAAATTGTTAATATATGTGATTAATGATACCTTGGTTTTCAGCATGTATAACATCTTCTGCAGTCATGAACATATCTACTGGAATTGTTCTTTCTCCTGGATAGGTTCTACCTGAAGTAGTATTATTTTGTGCACTTGAAAGTTTTTCTATTCCTAGATGCCTTCCTGGTTCTCCATTAGGGAATATAAGTGGATATTGCATTGGATAATAGCAGCCATAATAGTGTTTCACAATCTGAGCATTCCCACTTTTTGAATACATTTGAATGTGTTTGCTATTGGTTTGATCAGAGGTCTGTGATTCTGTCCAAAGAGCATCAACCTGTGAGACTATTGGCTTGTTGTAAACGTGCTAATCAACTATTGGATTTGATTGCAACATTATTCTGTATTCATCTAGATCATGCAAATCTTGTAATCCATGAAAAAATGATGAGTACGGATTTACTTTCAATAGATCAGCCAACATTGCTATCAAATTTTCTCTGAACTTGCCTGATATAGAGAGACGATTTTCCACTTCATGCTCAGTATCATAGAAATACAACTGCAAATTCACTGGCTTTTGACCATCAATAGGAACTAATGGATTTGTAAAATGATACATCTGACCTTGCACTCGAAAGGTATAGATACCATTGTACTTTTTTCCTAATTCCTTATCACAGTACATTCCTATTGAAGTAAAAGCAAACATATTATTATAGCTCCGTACACAATTGCGAAAGTCTATAGCCTCATCATTGTCACTGAGATATAGTAACATCAATTCTCGAGGCATCACAGTTTCAAGGAGTCGAATTTTACCTAATGAACAACAAAAACTAGGAGGCTCTAAGTGAAACTTTTTTGCTCCACAGAGTTTACAAGAAGGAGCTTCTAGTAATATCATTGCTTCTGTAGCAATGTCTTGCAAAATATCTCTTTTCTGTCTTTGACGACGTTGTTGAGATCGCCGAGCAAGTTTTTGAGATCCAAGAGTGCCATTGTTTATTGCTCTACTGCTTGAAGCAATTTGATAACTATCATTGTTTATCCTTGTACTGGTTGAAGGAATGTCAACAGCAGAGCTGTGAATAACATTTGCTGTTTGAGAATTCTATGTACCTAGGAATGATTCTAACTTGCTAGAGGTGAAGACATTATCAGAATTTTGATCCAGACCAATTATACCAAGCTTTGAATTTGAAAGATCAGTTTTTGTTCCTTTTTTCTGATTACATTTTCTTGCTTCTTGTAGAATACCAGATGTTGATTCAATGTATTCAACAGGTATTGATTCTGACTCTGTAAAGTTCAAAATACTATCGGAATTCTGATCTAGATTAATCATAGTAGCTTTTGAACTTGAAGAATCACGCTTTCTTCTCTTTTGCTGATTACGTTTTCCTGATTGTTCTGGAACACCAGATGCTGATTCAATATACTCAGGACAAATTTGCACTGCCGTTAATGCTACAATACAAGTGCCTCTACTAGAATCCCCAACCGCTTCTAACCTAGCAATAGCACGACGCTCTCGTCGTCGTCTATTTCTTTCCTGGTATCGTTCTTGAAGAGTAGCATATTTTCTTTTTGGTGGTATTGTTTATTTGTTAAGCAATAATCATAAGTACACTTATGCAGGAAATTTACTTAGCTCCAGTCTAAGAAAATGTAAAATAAATCATACAAATAAGCATTCAAGTAGAAATAATCAAAACTGATCATAACCAAAGACATCAGTCAAAAGCTTTAATATATCAAACACAAGAACTCAGATAACAAAGTGAAACTAACCGATTAGCCATTGATAATGATCCCTGAACAATATGCACCAAAACCAGACTTCAACAGCTAGCTACAATTCGATACATAGATAAAAAACATAGAAACGAGAGATGAGTAGCTCATTTTATAGGAATCAAACTTCCAGACCACATAGGAATCAAACTTCTAGAGTACAATACGTATACACTTGAACTTATTTGTAGACTTCGAATGGTTCTCTGTTTATGCACTTTCATTTTGACATATACATATACAGAATCCGCACATGCAGCACAAAATGCATAACAATTTTGTAAGTTAAAGCTGCGAACTACTTATCCATAATCATCTAACCTCGAACTGAACTCATATACCATAATTACAATCTAATCCATAAAACATCATGAACTCATACACCACAGCTGCTACTATATAATGCATGAAAGAGACATTTAACATGAAAATAGCTTCATGCATGCAACAAAAAAGATGGAATCGTGACAAAAAGGAATAAAAAGGAACTCGCGGCTAGTTTGAAAGCTGTGACAAAAGAAATGAGCAAAAAGACTACAAAACAGAGCAATTTTGTACTTTATATATATATATATGAATTGCGGAAACTTCATGCATGCAACAAAAGAGATGGAATCATGACAAAAAAGAATAAGAAGGAACTCACCAGTAGTTTCAAAGCTCCGACAAAAGAACTAAGCAAGAAGATTGCAAAAGAGAACAATTTTGCACTTTATATGAACTAAGGAATGTCTAAAGCACATTTGTACCTTGAAGACTCGTTAGTGGACGTTTGCACCGTTTTTAACAGAGACATGCAAGACATGCAACTTCAGAAGCTCCCAATTGCTTCCACGTAAGCTAACAACACCACCGTATATCTTAAGCAAGTCAATCTGTCCAACACCAAAACATAAATGTGAAATTCCATAATTAACCACCTACTGATGGTGCCCATACGGGACCATCACTATTGCACTCATATCAGCCAACTCCCCTTTTTATACTTCTTATGGAATCTTAGTATTCAATATCTTCTCGGTAATATAACCTCAAGCTATTGACCAATGTAAATAGGAAAAACCTAAGTTTGCAATTAATGTCTGCCCAAATAATTTGGTCATCTCAAATTAAGACTAATTATTCATAAGAAAATATTGCATAATATTCTCAGTTTCTGATGCAAAGTAATTTTGAGAAATATGTTGGCATTTCCCCATTATATATAGATCGAAGACCAATTTTTATGCCGGTAGAGCTTGTTGCAAAGACCGGGGGTCAATTTGGGCAACAATCTTCTAGTTGCTTTTTTGGCTCTAAACTATATCTGCATCTTTTTTTTTTTTTTTTTTTGCAGCAATGAAAACATTTGTATAATCTACTTTATCTTAATTTAGGGAAAGGGGGAGAAGGAAGTCAAAAACAGTGGTTGATGGGAGGCAAGGTTCGAACGCTTGACTTTCCACCCACAATTAAAGTTTTGGTGGTAACCAAAAGATCAAATAACTGTTATAACTGTTGACGTAGTCACATATTTTTAGCTGGAGTAATTATTAAACATGTAGCGGTAGAGATTACATGGAGATATTACTATTCCATTCTACGTTCTTGTTTAGATTTTGATCAAACTTATATCTATTGACAAAGGTGGTCATATTTCACTTTTCATTCAACATATGTGAGAGTGACTTGTGTAAAAAGTCTTTGGCCACGTAAAAAAAAAGGTTTTTTTTTGTCCTTTTCTCTATTCATTTTCTATCGACCAAGGGATGTGGAAAACGGCCAGGAAGGGCAGTTGATAGAGCCACAGCAGAACGTCTATCCGAGGTAATGAACTCAAGGGGGATGCATTACGGAGGTTGAAAGAGTTCAAGTTTGATAAAATCGTGTCAAGTTTTGATTAAAATAAAGGTGTCCGATCATGGGATAGAGTAAATTTGGCACGGTGACTTTTATCGATTGATGTCTCGGGATCACAGACGTGATTGATCAAGGCGATTTGCAGTATAATACAATTACAATACTAAAATTTGTTTTCAAGGTTCTGAATTATGCAGCTTGAAATATAAGCCAATCTTTCTCGGCTCCGTAGTGCCAAATTGCCAAGGCACTCAATTCGGACATTGGTGGTTTATCATGAAATTGAATGAAAAAATTATAAATATATAATTCGGGAAAAGATGGGCTATTATAAGAAAAGGGTACATATAGGTTAATTGCAATAGAGACTATTACACAAGACAAATATACATACCAAACTGGCTGTCCAACCAAGGAAATCTTCAATTCCTAGCAGGTAAAATATTGCAGTCTACATTTTAGAGTTGACATTTTATGAGCAAAACACATTCTCAACGTCATATATGCTCTACTCTTTGAAGAGCTATCCTAGATTTCAAAACTGCTATATTTAATTTGGAATCCATTGAAATATAGAATGACAACTCAGTTGAACTAGATTAATATAGTTTAGTTGTATTTGTGCGTTAACTTACTCAATTTCTTCGCAAAAGAAAAAGAAGCATACAGAAATTTATTTCCAGCTCGCGGTCTTATAGTTAGTAATAATGAATATCATCACCGATTGCAGTTACAGGGTTCAACGCCTATGTTGTATTAATAATTTTCCTTGTTTTGCAAATTCTGTAATTCATGTACATGATGACAATTTGAAGATTTGGATGATTCAACTCTCGGAATTAATTCGAGAGCATACCATCAATAATTGCAGATCGCAGTGCGAATGCTGTCCAACGTTGTAAGGTTTGTGCTCATTAGTTTGGAC